CAGATACCTTCTTGTTAATACTGAAATGCAGAGCTACTAGCTCATAACCAACATCTACAAAGGACATTTTTCAATTGATTCGATTACTTTTATTAATTTTGATGTATTGGAATATTTTTCGAGTCTATGAAAGCTGAAAGATGGTCGATAAGGTAAGGTAGGCTGAGCGTTAGCAGAACAGATTTCCAAAAAAGGAAACCAACGACTATACTAAGAAACGACCTTAGCTTTTGGTCATGGTTTATCCTACAGTATCCATGCAATCCAAAGTCCACTGAAATTAACAAGAAAGACTTTTTCAACATTATCAAAATTTGACATTACGCCTTACTCTCACGATCTTTGATACATGTGATGAAAAGTGGTATGTTTACCTTTAATTTCGAATCTAACGCCATTGGGTGATAGAACCTTGATAGACGGGGCGCTGATACTGGTTGCTAAGGGAAGCAACCCCACAATGGAACACACCAATACTAACAACATTCTGTAAAATAGAATGAGCTATGATATAAACCATTATGATAATATTTATCCGGACCTTGAATATTGAAGATGAAGAACTCAACCAATCTTGCCACTGTTAAAGGAGTATGTGTATCGGGGACACTAATAGTATATAATATTTGCGATATTCCAATTTCTGTCAGCATCTGTGGTTCTTGCAATTTCACTCAGACGAATCATTTTATGACGTAAAATTGTTACAAAAAGCCAAGTTTTAATGGAATTGCAAGAACAACAGTCGTCTGACTGCAAATTTCTGCTATAAAACATTTTAGACACATGTGCATTTTAAAATGCATGCTGATATTGTTGTACTTTTGTGCTATTCCATGTGTTTCCGTGTCTATGTGTTACATTTAGGACTTACCTGGATGGTGTCATCGTGATTCTAGTGTACAATTGGTTTGATCATATCTTTATCTCCGATATCTCATAGATCCGTTGTCGAAGAAAAACTTANAACTTTATTACAGACAACGTGGAAGTAATTAGATAAGGTTTTAGACATCTCCACAATGTTACGTTATTACGAATTTTATCTTATACCTTGAGTGCGTTGCTACCTTTCTTGTATCTTGAAGTTTGTAAATGAAGCTATTTGGTTGGATTGTACTCTAGCTCATACAGCCAATCAAAGAGACAGAGTCTGTAATCGCTGCAGTACAATCCAATCAATCGCTTCATGACGTGATATTAGATAGGTGGCTATTACAATCAAGGCATAAGACGAGGTTCATTGTGAAGATGGGTTATTTAAGGAAGATGATCCCATTTCCTCTGTATCTAGCTATATACCACTCACGTATCATTCGCGTGTTCATTCTTGACATTATACAAAGCAACATTTAGATTTCCCCAACGGACCTAAGAAATGTTTCTGTTGCTAATACTACTTTCTATCTTTATGTTATATAAAATATACGTCTTTAAATTACATGTTAAATTTATAATTTATTCTCCAAAAACCTTAAGGGCAGGATGTCGATTTCTATTAGCGTCTCTTGGGACTAAACGGGCTACCGGAAGCCTTGAAAGGAACAAACTGTGGTATTAAGTTCGTAAAAGTATTAAACTGTATAGTCAACTGTTAAAGCTCTCAGAGTTATCTGTATTACATTTAAAGTTGAATGCCCACGTGCAGTTTCTCTACATTTAAATGAAAATGTAAATCTAGTACTTCTTTTTAAAAGCTCTGAAGAGACGTCTTATCTTTAGCAATTTGTGGTGGGTCACCCCTGATATGTGACTGGACTGTCTCTCTATGCAGATAAAATATTTGTAAACGCTGGTCAAATACTTCAAGAGCTGTATTCTAATCAGATTCACCAAACAATACAAAACAAATAAATTGGTACAGGCAAGGACCAAAACCATTGGACGAAAGTTGACACCAACTTTTATCAGAAAGATTTAAAGTTTTTAATTAAATCATCTTATATATCTGGTGTTCTCATGTCGGACAGTCATTTCAAAAACATGATACATATAATCTCTCTTGTTGTTTTTCTCTGATAGTTAGTTTGAGCTGTCAGGGAAGAAAGACCAGTT